GCTAGAAAATTCTATCTGACATAAAAGAACTGACGTTGCAAAATGACAGAACATTAAATCAGGCATTAATTTTTCTTTAAATCAGAATTTTCCCGGGGGGAGAAAAATTATCAACAAAATCATACATTTTGTATATTTTTTTTCTAAAGATCAAGGGAAAACCTTATGTTGAAAAAAATGTTAATTCTTAAAAAAAATCTAACCAAATTTTTTCGCCGACCTCATCTCAAGTGATATTGTCGGCACAAAAGTTAAATTGAAAAGTAATGTCGGGAAACGAGAAAAAGAACAAAGTTCAACAATCCAGATAATTCATGCGAAAATTGCTGCAGGAAATTATTTATATATCAAGAGAAACAAAGGAAAAAAAAGACTATATATATATATATATACCAGAAAGTTTTATTGCTTAGACTTTGTTTATCTTCTATTATTGCCGACTTTTAAAATGAGTCCCTTTGCACATCTCAGATTTGCACGTATTTTCATCTTAAATCGCCACTTCTATAAACTGGCTCTTTTTCAAGTCTCTTCAGTTACTTCAAGTTAGTTGAGATGTTTGGGATTTTTTTTCTTCTGTAACAGTACAAAAAATTATTTTCTTTTTTTTCGGTTAAATATTTTGATACAGCTAAGGGCAAGTCATTTCAAACGAAAACACGAAAATAAACGTCTTAAGTGAATTTACATTTGTTTCTCACCGAAAGGAATCAAAAAATTTGACAGCGCTTAGTTTTACAACTAACGAAAAATTAATGACTTTGTTATGTGCTTGGTGCCAGCTGGTGGCAATACATCTATCTATCTATCTATCTATCTATCTATATATATATATATATATATATATATATATATATATGTGTGTGTGTGTGTGTGTGTGTGTAGAGTGTTTGTATGTGTGTGTGTAAACATTGTTGGAAAAGTGAACTGAGACGTGGAAATGGCAATCAGAATAAAATGTTGATTAACATGACCCCACTGTCTATGTCTATAAATGTTGTCTCTGTGATACTAAGCACTCTTATAAGCTTTCTCTCTCTATATATATATATATATATATATATATATATATATATATATATATATATATATATATATATAAACACACATATATATACACGCGCACACACACATATATACATACACACACACACATATACACACACACACACACATATATATATATATATACATACACATACACATACACACACACACACACACACACACACACATATATATGTTACAATGAATCATTCATGCAAAATGTAGACGAGTAAAGTTAATGATATAAAATAGCGAAATAACTTCGCTGACAAAATTTTAAAAATGCATTAACCTACAAATCATTTGATGAATGTTATGAGCCTTGTTTTTAAAAATTATAAGCTGTGTAAGGTTTTTCTTTAATACGCAATTACTTTCAACTGTACATTCAGTCATCTTCAGGCATGGAAATTATTTTGTTTTTTGGTAAAATTCAGGTAGCATCAAGACAAAAAAATTAGTATATATATATATATATATATATATATATATATATATATATATATATTGTGTATTTTGCTAGCAACCTCTTTTTTATACTAGTTTTGTTAGTCAACTGTCAAGATACTGTGATAGAGTATTTTATTTCATTTTTCTTGTGTTCTTAAAAGATTTTTTTTTTTTAAACATAGTGTGTACAAACTACCCAAAAGTTCTTCATATCCGATCGCTTTCGGCTATTCTTTTAGCTATTATTCTGGAGGACTTTTATTTTCAACTAAATATGTGTGTTACAGGAATGTATTATTTTCCGAACATCGTCAGCACATTGTACCGTGTTCTTAATTATTCGTTATGTGTGTTGGCTTTTGCCTTTTTATTATGAGTGCCATCATTATTTTTAATCTTGTTTCACGTGTGGATAAGGTTATCATGTTTTTATTTTCTACTAGTTACGAATGACGTTTGGTAAGGTTTCCGTCCGTGTGTGTTTAAATGGGCCCTGAATTGAGCTATGGTCGGATAGCTGTATATATATATATATATATATATATATATATATATATATATATATATATATATATATATATATATATATATCCTTCAAGAGATAGGGGATCATGCCTCTCGACAACTTCCTATCCATTATAGCTCTTAGTTTTTCTCAGGTTTGTGGAGGCGCGGTGGAGTAATGGATAGCGGCTTGGATTGAAGAATCGGAGAGCCGATATCGAATTCCAGTCAAATCCATTACATTCACTTACGTACTAACACTCTTAGAAATTACTGCTCTTCTTCTCCCCCCAGCTATGGGTAAATAGCTGGATTCTATAGCCTTGGATGGCAACTAGTCTAAGGGAGGGAAATTCTGAATTCAAAACGTGCAGTGGATCGTTTGGGGCAGACGGTACATAAGGTATTCGGCTCTTCAAAAGTCGATTCCATTGTGTTTGGTTCTGCACAAAACCTTCACCACTATAATCAAATCATATGTGGCGCTTGTCTGGATGCAGGTTTCTAGGAACTGAGGTGCCTGACCCTCATACGTTAAAAAAAAAAAGGTCCCCGGTAGGCGCGAGTCAACAGCCCGCGTCGATGAACGACAGGAGGGTCCACGGTTCAGGCGCCCACCACCGTTCAGTAATCGATTCGCACAAGCTAAGTGGATCATTGTATTCTATCTCTCTTGCTCTCGATATATCTCTTGCGGGCAATGTTTTCCATTCACTCTTTCCTCATTATGTGTAAAGAATCCCAGCTATATTTTTTTTCTGATTTTGTGTACAATTTGCCATTTGCCATTTTCTTTAAGACATTCTCTGTTGCCATTTTCTTTAAGACATTCTCGTTGCTTCTTCGTTCCGTTCTTGAAACATTTAATATCTTTCTGTGGAATTTTATTTCTTTGGAATCTAGTTTTCTCCTCATCCGTGGAATTCACTGCCTTATAAGAGGATGGATAACACACAGCAACCCAACACACTTTTCTTTGTTTCGAATGAACTTTTTTTTTCCGTTTCTCGACGCCTTAGATACTTGGAATGATTCTTTATCAAATTACATCCCACAGCCTTAGGCATCCAACACTTTTCTGATTGCTTGTAATGAGTCAAGCAAATAGGCCTGACGCAACATAAAAACCCACAGGTTAATCTTATTTTTCTGACGTTGTTCGTAATGCTCGAACTGTTACAATCTCTACCCGTCGGCTATTTTCTATTAACTTCATTTCTTACTTAAATCTGTATAATTCTAAAATTTATACCATTCTATTTTCACTACCTTTGCATAAACGGACAAGCACTGTTGATATAGTAACATAGATGGTGTTGCAGCAATCCGACACTTGACAAACAGAAAACGAAATAGGCAATAAAAACAAAAGTTGTATATGCAGAGACCCGACAGTTTATTTATCAACAGGTAGAGTTACATTATTTTTCAATATAACCATCGCTGGCGGCAACGACCATCTCAAGGCGGGCGCGAAATGAGTCACAAAGTTTGGCGACCATGTCCTTGTTCATAGCGACGAACGCTTCCACGTTATCAGCCTTCAGAGAGTTGACCGTGTTATGGGCGTACTTTTTGGTCTTGGCCTCGATCACGTCCCAGAAGAAATAGGGCTTGCAGTCAGGTGAGAAGAGCGGCCACAAGTCCGGCGACCAGTGGTAAGGAACATTGTTAAGCAGCCACGTCTTAGCTGGTCAAACTTTCTCCCTCCGGATAGAGAGGATCCGCAGGCGAGGCTATGTGGAAGGGCAGAGCCTTGTCTCGGGAAGCAGCTACCCGACCCGGTTTTATACGAGGTCTAAGGGTAATTTTTAGCCGAACCTGCTGGCTCGGATAACCCACGTTAAATTCGGCCTTGTGCAACATCTGACCGCGTGGGGTGGTTGGTAGATCTGCTGTTGGAGATACATTGTGGACTTCACTTGACTCATCTCTAGCAGTTGACTACTACTTCTACGCGCCGCTGGGGAATCTTATATGAGTTGTTCTTGTCCTAAGTATTATCGTTCATTACCAATCTTAGTGTGATTATTCTATTCAGTAACCTTCCCTAGGTGACAACAGGATTTAAATCAGAAGAGTTTCTGGTCCAATCTATAGTACCTTCGTTGGCTCGCTGGTAAGGCTTGCCAGTTTGTTCAGGCAGCGTTACAATTTTTCGTACGCTTCCTTTGAGTAACGTCCATTGCAGACAATGGCCGTAGGACAACTAATCGACAGTCGAGATAATTGTGTCTGGGCGTGATAAAATCTGATACCATCACGGATGACGCAATATTTTTCAAGGCCAAACAAATTTCATCATACACACCGAAAATAAATTCGTATTGCTGCACACCACTTCAAATGATTTAAACCGAGAAAAAAATAGGCATCGACTACATCCTATCACACCCGTGCGTCTCAAACTGACCGTATGCTGGAGGAAAGGAAACTAAAGCGTTTGTTTCAATTAATTTGCACAATGTTATAGATTTATTTTTAATCCGGCGTTCTTATTACTTCAAACTCTATAGTGGATGCTCGTGTTTGAAATAAACATCCTATATTTATTTTTTTTTTTATTTCTAAACAGATTATATTACGCCTATATCAGAAGACAACTTTTACTAAACAATAATTTAACTTCCTATCGATAATATTTAAATAAAGGAATCGTCAGGTTCCCAATTGTTTTTTACAAAATTTGTCTCCGAAGAATAATTCACGTCCTTATCAAAAGAATATGTTCCGATAGCTATGCGCAGCCCGATAGAGATGTTTTAAAAGTAAAAATGCCACGTCTGTTTCAAGTATGAGTAGGCATTATTATATCATTTGAAGTAATTAAAATGTTGGATAAAAAATTAATCCATTAATTCTCTTATATATATATATATATATATATATATATATATATATATATATATATATATGATATTCGGAAAGTTGTCTTCATATTTTTGTGATATTCACGACGTTTCTTGGAAAGAAAGAAAGATTAAAGACAGAAAGTAAACCTATGAAAAGAAATGTGAAGGAATAAGAAAGAAAGAAAGAAAGAAGACCATGAAAAGATATAAAAAAAAACAGAAAAGGCAAAAAAAAAGAAAAAGAAAGAAAGAAAGAAAGAAAGAAGAAAGAAAGAAAGAAAGAAAGATAAATAAAGAATCGAAATAAATAAATGAAGAAAGGAAGATGATCTTGGAAAAAATATGAAGGGATAGGAAAGGCCACATAGAAAGAAAGAAAGAAAGAAAGAAAAAAAGAAAGAAAGAAAGAAAGGGAAGACAGAAGAACTTGGAAAGAAAGATAAAAGACAGAAAGTAGACCTTTGGAAAGAAATGAGAAGGAATAGGAAAAAAAGAAAGAAAGATAGAAAGAAAAAAGAAAGAAAGAAAGATAAATAAAGAATCGAAATAAATAAATGAAGAAAGAAAGATGATCTTGGAAAAAAATAAGAAGGGATAGGAAAGGCCACATAGAAAGAAAGAAAGAAAGAAAGAAAGAAAGAAAGAAAGAAAGGGAAGACAGAAGAACTTGGAAAGAAATATAAAAGACAGAAAGTAGACCTTTGGAAAGAAATGAGAAGGAGTAGGAAAGAACAAAAGAAAGAAAGAAAGAAAGAAAGAAAGAAAGAAAGAAAGAAGACCATGAAAAGAAATAAAAAAAGAATAGGAAAGGCAACAAAGAAAGAAAGAAAGACAGAAGACCTTGAAAAAGAAATATGAAACAATTGGAAAGGCCACATTGAAATAAATAGAAAGAAAGAAGGAAAGGAAGAAGGAAATAATGAAAATAAAGAATAACTTGGAAAAGAAATAAGAAGGAATAGGAAATGGCACATAGCAATAAATACATAAAAAGAAATAAATAAATAAGAAACAAAATTAGAGATAGTCAAGGTTGACTGCAAAGATTGCAAGCACTGCGGTAGCAGTATAAAATACAAGTTTCTCGCAAAAGAACTTAACCATGGCAGAAAGGCAGGACTGTAAGGTAAGGTAGACTGAACATTAGTCATAAGCGCTTTAGTTCTGATTCGGGATTGTCCCGCGGATCTACACTTCAGTGGATTCATGCGTTGTTTAGTGAATTTGCTGGATACTAATTGTCAGTTCAATCTCTTGGCAGGGTAGTACAAACAAATGATCCAGTGCCCAAAATTCTAGCAATAAATGACCAGTACTAAAGAAAGTAATATCATATGTCCCTAGTCATAAACAGCAGAACATTAAATAAAGAGTTCAGTTCAAAATTTCCGGGAAGGGTACACGTGTCAGCAAACATCTGAAATAGCTAGGTTTTCAAAAACGCTTTGTGATAATAACGCATATGGGGACATTGTTTTTCTAATGTTAAAAATGATAACTCGTCGTTCTTGAAAGTCAGAATCAAGAACTGCGTCTATAAAGTCCCTTGCAGATGCGGCAAGCAGAGGAGAAGATTTGGCATCTTGAGACCATTGTGCACATTTTGGTTTGTATCATTCTAATATCAATGCTCTTGTAATTAAAGAAGAATAACAGACACTACTGTAAGGCATAAAGACTGAATGACCAAACCTATTCAGCTGCAGTTTTCCAATAACTATTCTCGAGCGAAAAGTTATAACAAAAACGGGGGCAGTGAAATTTGCTTAATATAAACTTCCCTGTAGTTTAATGGAAAAAAAAATTCTTCTAATGAGAAATCTTCACAAAATATATCGAATAATGAAACCCGGAAGGTTTCTTTGTCCCTCAACCAATTCGATATCCAATACAATGCTTCACGCGACTATTATCCTATTTGCGTAGTGAAATTCTGAGTGGCTTTTGGACTAACAAGAGATCGATTAATAGTCCTATAGAAAGACATTTCATCAGGAAAATAGATCCATTGTTATGAAAGTAAGAGTAAAAAGATGGAGGAAAACACATATTAATTCAGTAACTTCGAAATTCCAATCACATGAAGCAGCTCGAAGCGTGGAACGGTCGAAACGTTGTGAATATGGCAATGAAGATGAGAATAATGTAAATAATTCAAGTAATCATAATATCTCATCTCAAAGATATAGAGGCCTAAACGTTGTGAATATGGCAATGAGGATGACGATAACAGTCCGAATAAAGTAAATAATGTAAGTAATCATAATATCTCATCTCAGAGATATAAAGACTAAAACTTTGGGAATATGGCAATGAAGATGAGGATAACAGTCCGAATAATGTAAATAATGTCAGTAATCATAATACTCCATCTCAGAGATAAAGAGGCCGAAACGTTGTGAATATGGCAATGAAGAGAAGGAAAACAGACAGAACTAAGGTAGGTAAGCATAATATCTTATCTCAGAGATATACATAGTTATTGTAGTAGTGGCTCTCAAATTAAATTCTAATAATTACTTTGAACGAAATTCAAGCAATTTAAGTCAGTGTTTGAAGGATCAGGTGTAAAAAAAAGAAATATTCTAGCAATGAGAAATCCTCATCAAATATATGGAATGATGAAACCTGCAAGGTTTATTTGTCCCTCAACCAACTCGATATCCAATACAATGTCTCACGTGACTATTATACTATTTGCTTAGGGATATTTTGAGTGGCTTTTGGACTAAAAGGAGATCAATCAATAGTCCTATAAGAAGACATTCCATGAGGAAAATAGATCCATTTTTATGAAAAGTAACAATAAAAAGACAGAGGAAAACTCATAATAAAGCACTAACTAAAGTTAAAATAATGAAACTGAATTATATTCGTAACTAAACTAACCGTGACACGTTGGATCACTGACGGTTCAAGTTATAAAACATTGAAGTTGATTTCAACATTAAAAAATTGTCTGTTTGAAGAAAGTTAAAATAATAATACTTACTCCATAATCACTCGTAGTTTTAAATCTTATTCACTTAAAATATTTTTAAATCAGATTAATTTAAAAAATATTATTAATATGCCAAAATTTTTTTACAATCATATTCACTTGAAAATATTGTTTGAATATGGCAAAAAATTTTTTTTTAAATATTGTTTGTTTAAAGAAATCTGAAATATAAATAGTTGCTCTACAAAAACTGAATGAAACAGCAAAGCGGCATCTCTCTGTGTCTGTCTTTAACTTTAAAATATTTTAATTAAAAAAATTGTCTGTTTGAAGAAAGTTGAAATAAAAATACTTATTACATGATCATCTCATATTTTAAAATCTTCACTTAAAATATTTTTAAAATCAAAATAACTTAAAAAAACATTCTAAATATGCTAAAAAATATTTTGAAATCATATACACTTGAAAATATTTTTTAAATATGGAAAAAAGTATTTTTTTAAATATTTAAATATTGTTTGTTTAAAGAAAACTGAAATATGAAAATACTGAATAAAACAGCAAAGCGGCATCTCTTTGTGTCTGTCTTTAACTTTAAAATATTTTAATTAAAAAATGGTCTGTTTGAAAATAGTTAAAATTAATAATTACTGTACAATCAACTCGTATTTTTAGATCTTATTCACTTAAATCAGATTAACAGAAATTATTATGCACCAGACGAACGTACAACGCAATCACAGAGAGGTGGAAAGATAGAAGTGGAAAGAGAGGGGTAGAAAGAGAGAGAAGTGGAGAAAGAAAGGTGGAAAGAAATTTAAATCATTATGCACCGGACGGACACATCACGCATGGAGGCACGCAGTCACAGAAATGTGGAAAGATAAAAGTGAAAAGGGAAAGAGAGAGAGGTCGAAAGAGAGAGAGGTAGAAAGAGAGAGAGAGGTAGAAAAAGAGATGTGGAAAGAGAAAGGTGGAAAAAAGGAAGGTGGAAAGAGAGAGAAGTGGAAAGAGATAGGGGGAAAGAAACTTAAATCATTATGCGCCGGACGCACCACGCACCACGCAAGCACGCAATCACTGACTTTTAGTATTATGTAGATAAAAAAGATCTCAATAAAAACTTTTTTTTCTAAAATATATAGTATTTAATAAATAAAAAGAATCATTAGGAAAACTAGTGAAAGAAATCGAAAAGAAAGTTTTTCAAAATCTTGGACCGATATGATTTCTATGTCTACACAATGTCTGCGATATTGGGCGCTTTTCTCCTACAAATACAGATTGATTTTTTACGGCTATTCAACCTTTTGCGGGTTATTTAAAGCTATAAAATATGTTTATTTTGTAAGTACAGTTTGGAAATTATAAGAAAATGATTTACTGATAAAACTCTTACTGAATAATCCATAGCCCCGTGGATGTTGGAGAAGAGGAGGCTACGTACCTTTCCCAAGAGAATCTGCGTTTAAATGAATATAATGAATGCGATTGGGATCGGAACTCAGTTCTCCGATTTTCAATTCCGAGCTCTTATCCATGACACCACCCGCACATCAAAGCTTGCCACACCTGGTATCCCCAAACGGTCACCCATCGAAGTACTAACAAGGTTCGACGTACCTTAACATTGGTAATCACACGACAAAAGGCGTTTCAACGTGATATGGCCCTTAGACGCGTATTACTGTTTACGATAATCGTCTCTTTATATCATAAGCTCGTTGACGGACATCATTGTCTGGGACTAGGCAAAACAGAACAATATTTGGTATTTTTCTGACATGGAAGTTGAAGAAATTTCTTTTGGTGCTAGAGAAAGTATAATGCGTAAGAATATAAACAGACGGGAGTAAAAATGTTATTTTTATTGCTATATTTGTTCTAAAAGAGATCCTTCATTCAGAGCAAACACAAGCATCAAATGACTTAAAATCCTGTAATATGCGAATATTTGCTCTCTGGCTAGTTCAGAGGAAATAGTATTTTTTTTATACAATAATGTAATAATGTACATGGCCAGAACAACACTTGTGATAGATTATTACAGAATCAGAAGCGCAGTTTTTGAAGATATACAGAGAAGGTAACGGTTCTACTTAGACTTGAGCAAGTTAAGATTGTAGTGATCGAGGAAGTATCCTCTTGGGAGTCGGTTCCAAAAAGCAGCCGTTCGTGAGAAGCTGCTCGTACAGAACTTACATTTCGCATTCAGTTGCGCAGTATCTATTTTTTCTAATAAAATATTCACCCAATACAAGGCACGGGCAACACTCAAGTAAGAAGATTACAGTTTTAAGATGGATATTAAGAATGAGGTGCGTAGTGCCAATCGATAAGCGTTCGCCACGCACGCGTGCGTAACTTAGACAGTCAGATAAACTCCATACAGAAATGAAAACTCTGAAGACAATGTTCTGTTTATCGGCAGGTTTATTGAACGATCAAAGGGTGAAACTAGAAATAACAGGAAATAGATACAAATTTGAGATTAGGTTAGTCAGAATAAAAATAAATAAATATACGTGATGACAGAAATGTAACTGAGAGTCTAAAAGCTGGGCATCTCTCAAGAGTCCGAGGGTCTAAATGGGAAAAAGGAGATTGTAGGTAATTTGCAAGTAGATTTTGTAAGCTAGAAAAAGTAAGAACTGCGTGCTTTACGGCTGTCCCTTATTCTGCCAGTTGCAGTATTTTCTACGGGCAGAACAGGAAAAGGTCAAAACCGTGATTGATCCAAAATGTAGATAAAATAAATGGGGGTGAAGAAGGGAAACATGAAAATAATGTAGGTACTATACTGCAGCATGAGAATATAATGTGTGATATTAATGATAAAGTAGTTGGTAGGAAGAGAAGAGTAAGAGGATAAGGAGGATATACAACTTTGATTTGTTGTGAAAGGGTTAACGTTCTAGCATTCACGGAAAGCGTCTAGCATGTTCCGAAACATGGAAAACTTTCCATGGGGAAGTCTAAGTAGAACTTTCTTAGTTCATGCTTGTTGTAGCTTATAGTGATTTTCCAAGCGTAGCTTAGATGTGGCACAAGGCCGAAAGTATGGGGCACCCAGTGAGGATCGAACTCACTACTCAGCCGTAATTGTTCTAGCGAGACAAGTTTGCTAACCATTACATCGCCTCGAAGTGCCCCTTGTTGAAACTTATAACACGACTTATCTTCGCTAAAATTTCAGCGGTTCTATTCTACGGCCTTGATTCTATCAATACCCTCTATCTATAACCTTTATTTTATCATTTATTTATACTTAACCATTTTATAGTTTTGAACTACAGGAAAAAAAATTCCATTGGATAAACTGCCGTACAAAAAAATATTAACAGGGGTGGGGAGGAATCGTGTGCTAAATCGTTCGTCACTATTTGTGTGTTTCAGTGATATTTTATTAAAAACAAAACAAGAAGGTATAAAATGTTAAGAATTAAGAGGAAAAAACGCACAATAATTTCAAACATATGGCAACCTTTGATTATTAATCATATATAGTGCTGTTCGATAAAAGTGACACACCTGATTTTTTTTACTAAAAACATTTTTTGTCTATTGTTTTTGAGGTTAAAATAATTTTTAATCTTACAAATATAAAGACCCCTTCCCAACCACCCAGGAAAAAAGTTTATTCCACCTAAGGTATTCTATTGATAATTATAAATTTGGATATAAATGAGATTCAGGAAGAAAACTAAGTGACTCAAATATCGCATTCTAATGATTAAACTGGTAAATTTAAAGAGCTTTTAACAAAATATTGAAAACTATTTTACAATACCCTCAGAACAATATTCTAGAGAATTCTAGAACAGCTTAAGTTAAATCTAGAGTATTTCAGAATATTCAAGAAAGCCTCATGCAGTATAAAAACAGCTTGAAATAGCCATTCAAGTCACTAACCAGATGAAAGGGTACAAACACGCATCAGAACCACTTAAGGCATCTATTATTGCCCTCTCAAAAGCAGGCAAGTCTACGAGAGAAATTGCAGAAATTGCTATAACCTCACAATCAACTGTCTCTCGAGTGCTTAGGGCACATAATGATGCTCCAAGGAAGGAAACAAGGGGACGAAAGAAAAGGATTGATGATAGAACTGGTAGGGTACTCAAAAGAGAAGTTGCGAAAAATAGGACTATAACTAGCCAAGAAATTGCAGACAAGTCTAAGCGAAAAGCAAGATGTTAGTCTTGCCTCTTCAACAGTCCGTCAGAACAAGGTTACAAATCTTGTTAGAACAAGGCTACAAATCTTGTTAGAACAAGGCTACAAATCTTGTTAGAAAAAGGCTACAAATTTTGTTAGAACAAGGCTACAAATCTTGTAGACGAAGGTTTAAGCCGCTAATAAGCAAGGCCAACAAAGCTAAGAGACTCGAATGGGCTCACTATTACAAAGATTTCACCGTAGAAGACTAGAAGAATGTTCACTTCTCTGATGAAACGAAAGTTGAGCTAAATTCAAAGGATAAGGTGAGTCACTTTTATCGAACAGCACTGTATATATATATATATATATATATATATATATATATATATATATCATTGCTGTGAGATACAGACTTGGGGTGTAATATTCTACAGGTGTGTGAAACTAATTTGTCTAGCACCGTTCTATTTAAGTAAATGCTGTTCTTCTATTTCCAGACAGAGTAAACCAGTTAGTCACGATTATATTAAGAAGCATCATGGGATAGAAATTACTTTTAGAGCTGAAATCCCGTTAGATTTTGCAAATCAATTCATTTTCAACTGTTTGCGTCAGAAATTTGTCTTATCAACAGCGTTGGCTTCATCTAAATGTTACATAACTCTGCGTGAGTGCTTGTATAATCACTTAAGTATATTCATATACATACAATTCAGTATGTGTATTTTTTAATAGATATGTAGATATCTACGTTCGCATATTGGGGCGTTTAATCATACATATCTATTTGTGTTCAAATATCTTTTTCATGATAGATGTATCTGTATGTATATACGTATCTTTAATGAACTCCTGTTTATTCAGTTTAAATAGAATAAACGTTAAAGGTTGAAACATCAATAATTATTCATTAAGCACTGTTTACATATATGAATAGATTTTTCTATACATAGGTCGGTGTGTTAAATCACTTACGACTCTCTGACCAGAGGATTACGGAGTATTATTTTGGAGTTATTTTTGGCGGGTGTAATTTTCTGCGCAAGTACACCCTTGCGTAAATTAATTGAAACAAAAAAAATTATCGTATCTTACCAATAAAACATGACCAAGTGCACATGTCAGTACAAAGTCGTTCTGAGCAGATTGATCACAGATTCTCGATGAGATTTAAATCAGAAGAGTTTCCAAGCCAGTCGATAGTATTTAGATTTGCCCACTGGTAAGGCTTTCCAGTGTATACGTGCATTATTACAAAATTTTGTACGCTTCTTTGGCGTAACGCCCATCGCGGACAATGGCCGCAGGACAACTAATCGACAGTCGAGACAATAGTGTCTTGTGATAAAAAATTGATGCAATCAGGGATGACGCAATATTTTCAAGGCCGAACGAATTTCATCATACACCCCCAAAATAGATTCATATAACAGCACACGACTGCAAATGGCCTAATCTGAATTAAAAATAGAAATCGATTACACCCTGTTACTTCAGTGGGTCTAAAACTGACTATATGGTGAAAGAAAGGAAACGTTTTTTCAATTTTTTTTATATATATATATATATATATATATATATATATATATATATAACATCTCTTCAGTGATTGAGAGAAAATTGGCAAAATGACAGAACTTTGGTATTTTCAAATTTGTTTGGGTCAATTCTCATTGGTCACTTACGTACCAGGTTCATTGAAACGGTATATACAGTGATCCCTCGCTAATTCGGGGTTCTATTATCGCGGATTCACGACTTCGCGGATTTTTCAAATATATATATGAAAAATATATCGCGGACTTTCTGGAAAAATCTAGAAAAATCGCGATATATTTTTCATTGAACCCACTAAAATATTAATAGTA